AGGAGGAGGAGGAGGAGGAGGAGGAGGAGGAGGAGGAGGAGGAGGAGGACTACTACTACTACTACTAATGGGACAGTCCTTGGTGCTCTCTGACCTTGACAATTTTCCTTGACAACGTTTCATTACCAAACTAGATAACACTATTAGTGCTACTGATGAACCCGGATTTCTTAACCTTGGCTAGTTGTCACCTGCATCTTTCATGGCGATGAAGATGGATGAACCAAACAGTATCTTCAAGGTATCTCCAAGGTTATGGCTCTTCGCCTCAAAGCCATGAACTTACAGCCGTGATTCTCAATTGCGCTGCATTAGTCCACAAATCTTTCATGGAGATGAAGATGGATGGACCAAATATGGAGATGGTCCATACACCTGGCGAAGGTTCCATACGTGGTCGGTGCACGGTCAAGCTACCAAGTTATGGATGCCCACCTCAAAGCCATAAGCTTCCAGAAGTGTTTCTCAACCTTGGCAACTTGAAGATGTATGGACTTCAGCTTCCAGGAGTCCCCCAGCTAGAATGGACTTGAAGTCCAGACACCTTCGGGTAACCGAGGTTGAGAAACACCGTTCTACGGGTCGCAAGGACCTTCTCCCTCAAGGATCATCTCAGAGAACAGACCTTGGTGCTAGCCTTAGAAGAAGCAGGTTGGAAAAATCAAGCGTGTCAGAAGCAGGAAATGTGGAAGGATCCTCACCTTGGTCTTCTTCTCAGGGCAGGATGGAAGGTCCTTGCTGGAAGGGGCAGCTATGTCTTCCGATGATGGAACCTCAGCAGATGCCTTCACCTCTTCTGGTTTGGCAACACAAAACAAAGACCCACAAACAACACCGTTAGAATTCACAATTCACAATGCAACGGGTTTTGAAGGCATGAAGGACCACAATCCAAGTGCCTATCTTGTGTTTGGGTGGACTTAGAAGGTCCCTCAAGGCCTTGGGAGAAGTTCCCACCATGCTTTGAAGAGAACCTCCCACTCATAAGCCCAGGATAACATATATATATATATATTCCATCTGCTCCCCCAGACCTCAGTTTCCATGTCATGGAAGTAAGAACCTGCCTTAGGGGCAAGCTGATAAGATGTTGGCTTGTATAAAGCATGCCACGTTCACAACTATTTGCCCCAAAGAGAGAAGAAGAAGAAGAAGAAGAAGAAGAAGAAGAAGAAGAAGAAGAAGAAGAAGAAGAAGAAGAAGAAGAAGAAGAAGAAGAAGAAGAAGAANTTGCGGAATGACAGAATCACAGAGTTGGGAGGGACCTTGGAGGTCCTCTAGTCCAACCCCCCCTGTGCTCAAATGGGAGACCTTTGCGGAATGACAAAATTGCAGAGTTGGGAGGGACCTTGGAGGTCCTCTAGCCCAACCCCCGCTGTGCTCAAGAGGGAGACCTATCATTAAAGCCGCCTTCTACACAGCCTCAAGAAACTAGGGAGAGATTCCTTTGAGGGTCTTTCTCCACCCGTTATGCAGCGGTGGGCTCTGCCGCCTCTTCCCTAGCCAGCATCCCCTCACCGAGACGCCAGAGGTGTTCTCTGCATACAAGGACCACTATCCAAAAAGAGGGGGGGGGGGAACCATTCCCGGCACGCAACTCTCTGCAATTTCCAGGCGCTGTGAAAAGCTTTGCTTACCTTTGGTTTAACCTCTCGGGAGGTTAAACTGGAGTGCCGTGTGCCACCGGTCGACGGGCGCTTGGGCACAGTCCCGGCCGCAGAGGGACTGGTGGCTTTTTTGCTCGGGCCTAGCGTGGCCGAAGCCGGCCGCTTGGCGGGGGGGACACCAGCCGTCCCGGGCTTGGATTTCGCTGCAGCGGGTTTCGGCCCCGCGTTGGCTGGAGGCTTGAGGTGGAAACATGCCCGCAAGCGGAAACGGAAAACAAAGAGACGCACACAGAGAGAGAGAGACGGAACGAAAAAAATAAAACAGAAAAGCCGGGCGTTGTAAATGAAAGGCTGAACATTAGGCAAAAAAAAAGCGAAAAAAGAAACGGGCGGAACTCAAAATCAATTCGGAATTAAAACAAGGACGGCCTGATTCTGTTCTCTGAGATCAAAGGGAGGAACGTGGAATTTTTAAAACCGGATTATTGGGGAACCGGAGGCGGGGCAGGATTCGCGAATGGAGGGAAAGAAGAGTCAAAGGCCTGGAAGAAGCAATCAGGGAGCTTTAAGGTGGTTTTCTGGCAGACGTCTCGTTACCCAACTAGGTAACGTCACCAATGCTAGAAGGAAGTGGGGGGGGGGTTGTGGAGGGGGAAATGAGGAGGAGGAAGGGGAGGAGGACGAGTTGTTGGCAGCCCTTGGTCTTCTCTGAGCTTGGTGGGGGTTTTTTTTTGGAGATGTCTCATGACCCAAATAGATAACGTCATCAGTTCTTGAAGGAAGGGGGATCTTTGTGAAGGGGGAGGAGGAGGAGGAGGAGGAGGAGAAGAAGAAGAAGAAGAAGAAGAGAAAAGAAGAAAAAGTAAAAGAAGAAAAAGAAGAAGAAGAAAGGACTCAATTTAT